CCACACAAATATGTGAAATCGAACAAGTGGGTATCTGATTAGAAACATACCGTGAGAACCGAAAATTCGTTTCTATTTTTTGAAAATTGCCGGGGTTCTATCAATTTTTTTAAATTTCTTTTAAGAAAATGTGACTAAAAACCTTGAAAGTTGACGTGTTTATCCCGAGAGAAGTGCGTTTAGCAGTGGCGGCTCGTCGGGATGAACAAGGCGGTCAGTGCCCACCCTAAAATATCTGAGAACATATACCGGGTGGGGCATTTATCTTGAGACAAAATAATATCTCTGTTGGACTCGATTATTTCGAAAAAAATTTCACACAAAAGTTGTAGGGCACGAGGGGGGCATTGAAAGGTCCATATTACGACGTCCGGTCTAGACGAAGTGATGTTTTTAGACCGGAAACACCCATTTTTTACCACGGATTTCTATTGAAAACGAAAAAAAAATTATTTTTCCGATTTAACCCATATTTTGGCCATAAAATGGCCATAAATCACAATAAAAACAAGAATCTTCAGACAACGGAGTACCTTGTTGGTATCGCTTAAAGAAAATGTTTCATACAAACGTTGTAGAATGAAAAGGGGGCTATCTTGACATGACCTTGAAAATGACCTTGACCTTGACTTCAAGGTCGTTTGAAGATAAAATACATACTTCAGTCTTCAGAAAATCATAAAAATCTTCAGAAATGAAGAAATTCTTCAACTCACCGAAAACAAGCACCCCAAAGGGAATAAAAAACTACTACATCCACGTCATTATTCCTGGGTAGTGCTAAAAGTAGTTAATGATTATACAGTTTTTCGACCTTAAAATGACCTTGATATCTGATCTTGTTCATATCTTATTGTAAATCTTCCCGCTCTTGTAATTTCCCATTTAAAATTTTGGACTTGATCTTCAAACGACCTTTAAGGCAAGGTCAATGTCATTTTTAAGAACATGTCAAGATTTCACCCTACAGCTTTTGTATGAAGCATTTTTTGTTAAAATGATCCCAACAAAACCAATTCCATTTAATAGTTTCAAATTAACGTTGATTTGTCCTTGAAGCTTAAAGTCAAGGTCAAATCTAAGGTCACCAGCACATTCTAGATTAATTAACCCAAAAGCAATAATTTCTCGTGTATTTCAAACTGACGACTCATTTTTGAAAACAAGAGATGGTAAACTTTCGAACACCTTTCTGACCAAAGCCGATGGGACTGGATCTTACATGGGTCTTGTGTGTGAGTGTGTGTGAGGCCGCACATTATAATAAAAGGGATGACGCGACCGAAGAATTATTATCTGGAGTGTTTAACACCGCACCGTCGACAGCATGTTTCTAGGCTAATACCGCGATTACGTCTCGGAGCGGTCTCATACAACGCAAATGGACTCGCATTACGGAGCCATAAGCAATAACGATAATTTTCTGGTGGTCAGCGGATAGTTGCGACACTTACTCCCGACAATATAGGGTGGATCAAGAACTGGAAAATTTATGGGAGTGATTTCGGGGAGATTACCTCATTCAGCCAATCGAACAACTTGAAATAAAGGCTTCGAAGAATTTCTGGCAAGAGAAATTTTTGGTGTCTTCATTACGAAAATTATTTTTTTGGACGTACCGCAAAGTTCCAAGGTCGGGAAACGCGGTAAAAACCTGGAATAACGCGATAATCCATAACAACGCCGCGCCAGAGACGCGTGGGCACGCAGGTATTTGCGGCAGTTAATAATTGTAAGAGAATAATTATTGGAGTTAATTTAGCATTTATATAGGAAAGTGATATATCGTCGCGCGGGCGTATGATATATTTTGTTAGATGTCGTACACCAGACCTCCGTAATTACTTTTGATAGGTATTAGTGATTGTTCACATCACTGGAGGCGATACTTTGCCAACCAGTCGAGAAAAATCCAGCATCGAAGAATTTTCTTCTGTAAAACAAGCCTGAGTACGATAAATTTGTTTTTATTTTGTATTGCGTATATTTTACTTTGACAAACAGTTTTTTATTGCTATTTCCTAAACGTGTACAAATCAAATTAAATATTCATTTATGTATATACTTAGATATTGCGTAAATTTTAACTTTTTTAATAGAGAACAAGCGCAGACAGTATTATCAATATTTTCACATGTAACATTATGTATTTTAATATTATCAGAGGCAGGTTGACCCAAAATTGCAAATTGCAAAAGAGAAAGTAGTAAAGTTGGTCTTTGAATAATTAAGAGTTAAATAATTATTATTGCAAAATTTTCAACTAGTTTTCTACATTTTAGTCCCCATGAAATATTTTAACTATATCATCTATGTAAAAAACCATCCTGCCATTATTAAGTAAATTTGCAATTTTATTAATTAATACTTTAAAAATATGTAGGTCCAATAACAGTGCCTTGTGGGACACCTGTTTCTATTCCCAAACGCCAATCCTTTGCTATTAATTATAACTTATTGGATTCGGTTTCTAGGTTAACATTTTTAATAAATCTTCTAAAGACTCAACCTATTTTTCTATACATTTTTCGAACATTTCCGCAAAGTCACTGGTTATGATATAAAATTAACTGATAGAAATGGATAATTTACTTGACGGCCGACGCAGGCATACGGCTCAGCTGCCGAGGAGGCCGCTGAAAAAGGCAATATCAAGAAGATAAACATAAATTCAGTGGATCGTTCCCGTGGATGCGCGCGATAATATTAATAGAATATAGATTGATTCGTTGACAAGTTTTTGCCCGCTTTATCACTTATGGATTCCCGGCATCAATATGTTCCAAGGCGTCCACTATATTATATCCAACGCTGTAAGCGCCCTTTTTCTACTATCTTTATTTCTACTGGTTTTTTTCTGCTATAAGGCACCTGTTTGAGCAGGACTGGACTCGCGACACTGGCAGGAAGGAATCCACGGCTTATAAATTTTTAATTGGCGATCGCCTTTGGATGGTTGGAATCTCGAAAACCGCTGATCGATTTAAACAATCTAACGGGATCTGCCAATACGCCGCGCAAAAATCGTTACAACCCCAGAAAAAAATATTTGAATTATAGTTACGTTCCTACATGTCACATCATAGGATTTGCTTGATTTGCGTACTTCTTTCTGCGGCCGCGACCTTTTGTCTACATTCGCCGTATTACGACAGCGTATCCACTAGTTCGTGATTACTGTAATTATTAGCCATTGCAATGAAACAATACATTAATACCGAAACACCAGTCATTTTAAGGTATGAAAAACAATTAATTAGCAAAAAACCTTGTAACCACTAGCGGGGTCCTTTAACAAAATATTTTTTATTATGACAGCAGCGGGGCCTCTTTAATGCAGATATCTTGTTAGGTTTAATTAATTTCTGCTCCTGGCAAAAAAATAAATTCCTCAGTGAAACCAGCGAGCCAAGTTTCATCAATCTGCGTCACACATCATCAGATGTATTTATAAAAATGTTAACAATTTATATACGCAACTAAAACAATTTAGCGTCAACGTATCTATGAATTATATGCCACTTGTATGAGTTCACTTTTAATTTTCATTAAGTCCCCGCGATATCCACGCAGTCCCCCCCTGATGCTCATTATGTGCAAGTCCGAAACAGGTTTCTCTAGTTGATTCCTTAAGGCGCATTTTATATTTTCATACAATATCCTAGCTCTCGTACTGTACTTTTTACCCGGCTAACTTGATATACTTCATCATATACCTCGCTGCTGACGTATAGTTCTAATTTACATCATAAATTACCGGCCATTATATATCCATCGCGCATTTTTGCCCTAATTAATTATGTAGGGGCATAAGTAAATTGTTTATAACGCGACAAAAGGCGAGTCCTGATAGAAATTACCCAGTTTTACGACGATAGCCGTAATTAGATTCCTATTAGGGTGGCGGTTTTCAATTATGTTTTCGTTAACTTCCGAGAAACAAATATAAAGATCTGCCGGATTAAAATGTCGCGTTATAAAAAACATTTGGAAAACCACCGGTGTTAGTCATGCCATAAAAGAATTATAATGTACGTACATCGATGCGAATAACTCCATATGGCAGAGGTGATGCTTCTGCTGTTCAAAGTTGCAAAAGGTCAGCGGCGAAATATTCGCGAGCCGTCAGATGTTTTAGTTTTAGACGGAACCCCGCCTAACCGGAAATCTAATCAGAATTTCTGAGCATAAAATAACACATGAACGCTATTTTTATGTCTGAATGGGACATTTCGAGACTCTTATATTAATAAATTCAATTGTAAGTAAGGAAGACAGTGTAGACTGTAACGAATGTAGTTGTCACAAATGACACCAGGCCGATGTCAATTGTAACAAGTCAACTGCAGTTGTAACAAGTTATAATAGTACTATCTCAAAGGAAGTAGTATTCATTAGGAGTAAATAAATCATCATTAATTATCTAAAGTAACAAACTCAAAAGAGGTGCAATTTTTTAAAGGATATCCAGCTAATCAAAACCATAGTTGGTGCAAATAAAATAGTAGTTGTGTGCTGAACTGGTTGTTTCCCCTGTTGCTTTTTGAACACTTTATTTCTTGCGTTATAATTAATAACGAAGAAATTAAAGGTTTATCGATAAAGCAAATAGACATGTTAATTGTAACAACCCACAGCACATGTTACAATTGACATCATCAGAAAGTATATTCAGAACAACTGATACGTACGCATATTTTACAAATATGTAGCATACTTTTTAACCAGATATAAATAGTTTCTACATACAACGAATGTAAATATAAAAAAAATTAAATATGTTTTAACTGTGACACTTTTTTGTCTTATCACACCGAGTTTCTGATCATAACCACCAAGAGCTGTAACTTTTAGCACAACTGAGTTGGTGATAACATTAGCACGTTTGTTACAATTAACACTGTTACAACCGATGTTGGTCTCCCATATACAAGATGTTTTGTTACATTAAACACAATATTATGGAAATTACTCATAATAACGATTGGTTTTTGTTTCAGGTCCAACACTACATACTGGTAGTCCAAGCTCAGGATGCGGGACATCCCACCCTGTCCAGCACTCTGACAGTGTACTGTAACGTACTCGACTTGAACGACAACGCGCCGCTTTTCGACCCGATGTCGTACAGCAACGAAATTTTTGAAAACATCTCCATAGCCACCCCAGTTGTAACAGTCAGTGCTACAGACTTGGACTCTGGTAAGCATAAAAATCCGATTTTAGGACAATATTAATTAAGACTGACTTAACTCTGATGATGATAAGCATCAGAATCGAGACTTACAGTTGACGGGGAAGGAAATCTAGCGCTGTGGGGCACAAAGACAAGACATTTTCAGTTAGTAATTTCAGCGAGCTTGCGGTTGCGACAGCTAAGCGCAAGTCTGGCGCTGGTGTATCATTATGGATGTTCCCGAGCCTTTTTATCGGTGCGTCGAGATTACAGGCCTGGACTCCCAGGGATTTGTCCTGTACAAACTAACAGTTTCTCTAATTGCACGGCATTGCATTTGTTACTGACCTCGGGTTCACAGCGACACCAACAAACGACAACTCATTCCGTGTTTCGCGGAATCTCCACTCAATCTAATAAACGCCACCTGCATGAAAAAGTCATGGGTTAGACGAAAAATACAAAGTGACTTAAATTTTAAGTTGCGGGAAAATAAATCCAGTGTCGGTCATAAAACGCCAAAGAAACGGCGCTATCGGAGCTCCCCGTATCTTAAAATTAGCCTGGAATTCGGTTAAGATATACATCGCGACATTCACAAGACTCCATTATAAAAATCGCTCCCCTTTTGGAATAACAAGATGTTTGCCTATAATCGTACCCTCGTTAAAATATTAAAACTGTAAAATCAATTTATCCAAGTAGGAACCTGTCCTTGATAGGCACAATAAATCGCGGGGTCCCATTCTATGCAATCAGGTAATGATAGTGACCGGTGCTGAGATATGACGGACGCCACTGCTTTATAGACCTGGTGTCCAGAAGTCGCTTATAAAGTCGCCATATATGATACCCGATTACCAGGAAATCCTCACTCGTCACTGACATAGTCATAGGACGATCGTTTCATTTATTTTCACAAAGAAGGCGCGTCGGTTGCGAGATTTCGCTCCTCTTTCGAATCGAGGGCATAGCGCCTTAGGTTTTGGCTCCGATGAATGACATCCGCGGCCTTTTTTTTAGTATTTTCACGCGCATTACTTTTACGACAGCCCATTAACGACTGCAGGCAGTGTTCAAAATCAATTTTTTATGCTTCGGACCATTACCTTGGCATAGAATAATTAATAAATTACTTATTATTGTTAAATAATTTTTAATTACCCACGAACATAATTTACAACTGTAACTGTTAAAATTAATAATGGCGTTGAAGACGAGATGCGTTGGCAGTTCACTTTGTTGGAAATTTAAAAAAAAAATGCGGTTTTATAGCCGTCGATGTATTGTTTCGACATTAAGGTTGCCTCATCAAGTATTATTAACAATTAGCTTTCCTGCGGCAAACTTCACTTCTTCCATTAATCTTCCACATATTTTCTATCGGAATCCATCATTAGTATATCAATAACGAAATTTGTAAATCATAATTAATCACGATAAGAAGTACCCACAGCAAACATTACGTCAGGTACTTCGGAGAAAGTGTTTTTTTTAATAGATTGATTATTTTAACGCCTTTAGCGGGCACAGATTTTAAAAAGAACGCGGCTGGGAAAAAAATTCATTGTTTGTGTTCTTACCAAAGAGCAAATCGTCGTTTTTCGGGTAAGACTTCAAAACTATTGAACATACAGGGTGTACCATTTATAGTGAATGTCAAGAATGGGTATACAGCATTCTAATGGTCGCGTGTGGCGCCCTCTAGAAAATACAACGAAATCGTCGATAAATTCAAATTTCTGATCCCAAAAATCCCTCGGATACGAAATTTCACGAAATTAACTCGAAATAGTCGAAAGATATTAAAGAAAATGTATAAAATTAATCAAATTTAATTTATTTACTTCAGGGTTGCGAAAAAAAAAACGAATATTTTTTTCGTGTCTCTTGTGAAAATATGTTAGTTTGTCGTGTTTTAAGAGCCCCCTCAAAAAATCAACTCAAAAAAATTTTTTTTAGAGGTCGCTCAAGATTTTTAAAAATTTCCATTTTCTAGGTTGAAAAAAATCTCGATTCTGAAAATTTCAAATCGATATTTTAATTTCTAAAGGTCACTCATATTTTAACTTTCAAAGTACCTATGTTTCCGAGCGACCTCTAAAAATAAATATCAACGAACTAATATTTTTTTTTATTGAATTTGATGAATAAAAGTATAGAAATAAATAACGAGACACTTAAATTTAAAAAAATAACAAATTATAAATATTTGATACTCACAGTGCGGTAGTAAATTTTTTAATAATATTTTTAATTCTAATATTTCATTGAGTACTAGTAAGAAATATCAAGTCGTGCGAATATTTTTTTATTAAATTACAATAATTCCGACTCCACTGATTATGGACTTCTCGTTCTTCGGACAAAAGCAAGAAATCTTTTTCTTTAAAAATCCCACTGCTTTCCAAACACTTGTAAACTGTCTTGCTTTGTTTAATTTAATTCTCGGAGGTGCAAGAAGCCGATGCTCCTTATTGGATTGTTTTATCCCCCACAAACGCCACAGGAAAAACAATTGTGACCTTCTTGTTTTCTTGCAGGTGACAATGGGAAAATAGCGTACACCATAACGTACGGCGATGAAAAAGGCGACTTCCAGATAGCTCCAAACGGAACCATAAGCACCAAAAGACAGTTGGACAGGGAAACCCAAGGGATCTACAACTTGGTAGTGACTGCTACAGATCAGGCTGTGCCCCCTGAGAAACGACTGTCCTCGACGGTACAGGTAAATTTTTTGCCTCACTTTCGATTTGCGCTTGTTAATTTTAACAGATACGCCATATTTTTCTTGAATAGGTTAATGACAGCTCGGAACGGGGAAGAATTTTATTATTATGCCCACTTAAAAAAGTTTTACGTTGAACACGTCGATTATTTGTTTTAACAGTCCGTGTTAACACACGCTGTCGAGTATGTAAACACTCACAGGGAGCTCTTAATGACGCTGGTAATTCACGTCTCGTTTACATAGGGCAGAATTGTGATTGTGTGGACCTCGAGTGGAAATTCCACAGCGCTCGTCGATCGCATAGGGGCGACGGATGTGGAATAATATTGTCGTAAACCACCAACGTCGATCGAGTTATTTTTTTAGAGTGCGATCGCAAGTTTTTATGTTTATTTCTGTCTTCGACTGTATAAATTTCCTTAAAATTTTCTTTTTTCTTTTGTTATCTGGAGTGTACAGAACAAAAGTTACCGAAGCTGTTTCGTAAAACTGGGTTCTGGCATTTATACACCTTTAAATTTTTCCGGTGGGATAACTTTTTTTGTCCACGGCTGTACACGCGAAGTATCCATACCGCACCAATTCCGGTACAAATTTTCAGCGGGCGTCGAAATAATGTCGCTTGAATTGTTGTCCAAACCGTTAAACAATCCCACGTGTTTAAAACATACCTGTACATTTAGTTATTTGCATCGTTATTAACATTATTTATGACGCTGTCCACACGAAGAGTTTTTCCTTCTTTTTTTTTAAGCTTTGATTCTTAATTCTGAACTCGGCCGCTTGTTGAAACGTCTTACGTGGAATCTACATTCGAAAGAATGACGAAAAGGTAGCGTGAACTATCGATCTGCATTCGAAAGAGTAGTAAAAAAATATGTATGTGTCTATAATCGAAGGAACGGCGAGAAAGGTTCTTCTGGTAGCACCCAACGACTTGATTATTATTGAATATTTATATTCCGAGACAAAAAAGGCCGATACCGAAGCTTACTGTACCATGTAAATAAATAGTTAGCGAGAGTCGGTCTGTGAACTAGTTAGGATTATTCTTCGGCGGGTTTGGCGTGTTGGTTTTGCTCATTTATTGTCAAGTCATATCTGCCAGTCACGCTGTTTAAGTGGGCGAGGTTAAATTGTTTATTACTTATGCATTTTTTTGTTTAAACGGACTGTTATTTTAAAAAGTAATAATAATATCACTATTCCAATTACGGGCCAGTTGGATGGTTGCCCATTTGGGCAAAAAACTCCATCGTTATTAGCCTCCTAAGAGTTTCATTTGTTTTTTATGGCGGATTCCGTCGGTGTCATGGTGATGGCTTTCAGCAGTTGTATCGGGACTGACTGATGGGAGACTTTCCGCGGAACCAGATTGAGACATCGGAAATTATTTACTCCTAAAAAATATAAAGTTAAACGGTTTGAAAAAAAATGTCAAATTAACTTTAGCAAAATGACAAGAAAGTATCAACTTCACGATAGGCCAAAGGGGTTGAATTGTGCGTCATTTTCATTCCGAATAGTTGGCAGCAGTTGTTACAATCGGGGCAGTCCTTCTACCGAAAATTCCACCTGATTTACGCACAGTCTCAGCTACACACTCTCCGTACTTGCAATGAATTTCCACAATCTTCACTCGCTCGTACATTGTATAGCCCTCCATTTTATCTAACCGCGACGTGTTTTCTACAACATGTCACCATGCACAATGCTGCCAACTCTCGGAATGAAATTGGCGCGCAATTCAAATTTTGCGTTACTTTTGAGATAGGCGGAGCCACATCGCTACCTAACAGGATTTTTGATTTCATGTGTCAATGCTATAATGAAATTTATTAAATAATAAAGTCCAGTGTTAATGCAATGACCAAAGTCCACTCGCTGCCAAGTTATTTTGATTCAAAGTGAGCATGCGCCTATTTCCTAACAACTTAGTGATTCAAAAATTGGTAAATGTGAAACGTTTTCGGCAAAATGCCCATAAGTTACTCATCTTTTCTATTTCATAAAAAAAATTGATGACTTCTTACGACTGACACCTCGAAAACAAATGAGTACCGATCGTGAATCGTCACTTCTAGCGACACGTCGCGGCGAAATGTGTCGATCCCGACACGATTTTTGATCCGTTCTCGTGACTGGATTCCAAAACGTAATTGGGCAGATGATAGATAGCACCTAACTTTTTTTAATTTAACTTTTATCATTACCAATCTTGCACTGTAGGCGGCGTACGTCTCTGTCTGAGTGATGTCTTATTTCCTCGCAACGTTGCCAGTTCTCCGAGAAAGAATCTAGATCTTGACATCGCACGCAATATACCGCACACGTAGTCTTCGTGCGCGCCTCCCCCCTACGCTCTCCCTAGATATATGGAAGTCACGCCCGTTGGACATTTTGAGGACAAATTTGTCACGTACTGCATCCGATTAAAAACGTTCGCATCGAGACGTCTAAACACCTCGCTCGCGGTGATTAAAATAATATTGATTCTAAGGAAATAGCTTCACGGTCGTGCCACGAATATGCGACAAATGTGTATTATTGTAACTGCCTACTTTGCGTTACACGGAAAATAACAATAAACGTATAAATCAAAGGCGTTCGAGTGGGAGGGGGGATAGTTGTAAATATTTTCTCACAATGTGTTACGCAGTTTTCTCAAGCCCAATCAAGTTGGCGGTGAAAAAATTTAATAATAATAATTTATTTAACACGCAAAAGATTAATTCATTGAGTCGAATTTTATTTAATTCCTTGTCACTTTTAATATACTTAACAATAAGTATTGACAGTCTATACTCAGTAATAATGCAAATATATTTTTTTAATGGCATTCAAATGCTATTTTGGTACTTATTTATTGTCAATGTAACAAAACATCGGCCTTGGACTTTCAGTACAACTAATTTGAAATGGGAGATTAATATCTGTTAGGTGTTCAAAAATATTTGAATAGTAACTAAAGGTACGACTGGCAGAAATATGTTTTGCAGATTTTGTTTAATATCTACACAGGATTTACGACCACAACTATTGACCTCTTTTTATGTAGCATGTAACTCGAGTACGATTCCAGGGGTTCTCAATAAGTTTTAGATATTTTGACTAATATACCTTTTACCGTTACCAACACCCTATGTAGCCTGGGCGAAAATGGAATTCGTCTGTATTAGAATAATCGTGTCTTCTTTCCCGTTTTATAGCAGGTGCTTAGTTGATAGACGCCGTTCTAATAAAAACGAGGATAACGACGGGACATAAATCGGTATTAATTCGTACGCCTATATCACGGTAATAAAAAAAAGATGTAAAAACGGCGTGGAATATGAGGCTTTATTCCCGTCTTTTACGACGCCTTTTTTATCTTTGGAGAGAATATGAGAAATATGACGTTTTTATGAATTAAATAATATTAGGCGACTCCATTTTTATGGCGTTTTTATGACAAATAAAAATTCCAGCTCGCCATAAATTAACACTCGTAAAATTTGAAATGAGGCAAAGTTTTTTATGCGCGTCTCAAAGAGCGTAATCTTTGGTAAATCAAAGAGATTCGGATCATATAGTTGCTTCGCTGAGACGAAATCGGACGTTGATCACTTACTTCGCGACAAATTAAAAAGCCGCAAAAATATGGTGTCTAGAATATTAAATTGAACAAAAAAATGGTAACGGAATGTGGTGGGAACTTCCCACACCTTGTTTACCTTTTTTAATTTAATTTATAACCGCTTTGGCAAATATTTCAGCTAGTAAAGCGGTACGGGTTTACAAATAAATGTATTTTTATTGCGAACTATTAGAAAGATAGGTAAAATTGAAATTCATTCGTTCTCCCCGCAATTTCTAATTTTAAAAACACGCCGCGGCCGATCCGCTTCCAGCACGATATCATTCCTTTGGATTTTTCCCTCTAGGTCACCATAATTCTCAAAGACGTCAACGACATGTCGCCGGAATTTATAACTCCGAACGAGACCTCGGTCGCCGAGAATATCCCCATAAACACTGTCGTTATGGCCATTAAGGCGGTGGACAAGGACGAGGGCAGGAACGGCTACATCGAGTACTCGCTCTCCAACGACCCGCTGACGAACGGCGTATTTTCCCTGGGGCCGGTCGACGGGCTGCTGAGGGTGGCAGGCAGGATAGACAGGGAGGCGAAGAACAACTACACGCTCCTGGTGACCGCCAAGGACAGGGGAGACCCGCCCAGGTCCACGCAGACGAGCATCTTCGTCAAGGTGCTCGACGAGAACGACAACAGTCCCGTCTTCGACCCCAAGCAGTACAGCGCCTCCATAGCGGAGAACGCCTCCATCGGCGCCAGCGTCTTGCAGGTATGTCCCAATAATTTTACACCACTACCTTTGTTCATTATTTCCACATTATTTATAAAAGTTTAGGTCATCTTAACAGCATATGAATCGCACGAGAACTGTGACGTCACACCGTGCGTGCGTAACGTAAGCAAGCATGGCCGCTGGTCTAATATGTCGATTCAATAGAACGGTCTGACGTCACAACTAACGAAAACCCGTTTTTGATGACTAATATTTTAATTTTTCATGTAAAAAATGATTTTGGCATCATTTTGGATCTATTTACTAACTTTTATATCGAATCAACGCTTCACGCAAATTTCCCAGCTGCAGCGAACAATGTTCTTCCAGGTCTCGGCGACGGACATCGACGACGGCCTCAACGGCCGCATCCGTTACTCCATCAGCTCGGGCGACACCAACAGGGACTTCAGCATAGCGGAGGACACGGGGGTGGTCCGGGTGGCCAAGAACCTCAACTACGAGAGGAAGTCGCGCTACGTGCTGACCGTGAGGGCGGAGGACTGCGCCGGCGACATCAACGGCGACGTGGTCAGGTCGGACACCGCGGAGATATCCATCTCGGTGTCGGACATCAACGACAATCCCCCCACGTTCCTGGACTCGCCCTACCTGGCCTATGTGATGGAGAACATCATACCCCCGAACGGGGGGTACGTCATCACCGTGGAGGCGTACGACGCGGACACGCCGCCCTTCAACAACCTGGTGAGGTACTTCATTAAGGAGGGCGACACGGATATATTCAGGATAAACGCCTCGACTGGGGATATATCCTTGCTGAGGGCGTTGGACAGGGAGATGCAGGACGAGTACGTGCTGAACCTCGTGGCTATGGATACTGGTGAGTTGAAATGTAGTCACTGTATTGCTATTTGCTTGTTAAACACTTTACACTTCTAATTTCTCTAACAAATACCAGTAATCGTTTTTTAAATGTCTTTAATTTATTCGGTGTCAACTGAAACGGATGTCAATTGTAACAAACGTGCTCAAAGTGCCATGTTAGAAGTTATAGCTTCCTTTTAAAATCCTAAATCCTTTTACTTGTTTTCTTACAAATAAATTATATTAAACCACATGTCATCCGATTGGTGTCAATTGTAACAAGTTACAATTTGCTTTTACATGAAGAAGACGAAGAAGGTGAAGACTAATTTCGTTCATTTGGGATGCTGCAGTTCTGCAAAACATATCTGAATAAGCAGCAAACTTTATCAATGACATTAATTCATCAAGTTAGATTTTCTTAATTCCAGTTGACAAATAACGCAAATTTCTTTTGTTGTAATGGGTCAGTGCTGTCCTATTAATTCCTAACGTTATTAGATGCTTTTTTCCTTACGTTTTACAGTATGTTACAACCGCATTTTCAAGTGTTACAGTTGACACCTGTGTTAATTGTAACAAACGTGCTCAAAATGCCATCAATTGAGTATGTTAGAAGTAATAGCTGCCTCAATTACACCCTGGCAATGCTCAGTGATAGGAAATTCAGTGTAACAAGGCAAACATTTATCCAAAACAACTTAATCAATTTTTATTTCGTGACAACTATCAAATTTGTATCTGGTACATGAGTTGTCTTGGTTTTAATTGTTTTCTTGCAAATAAGTTAGATTTTAATCTAACGGCATGTGGTTTACCACATGCCGTTCGATGACGCCGATTGTAACGTGGATTGGTGTCAATTGTAACAAGTTACAGTTCGTGTTTTTCATTTGAATTAGGTTAAACGTTAGTTTTCTTCATTTAAGACGCTATAATTTTGTAACACTTATCTCAGTAAACAGCAAACATCATCAATGCCACTAATTCAGTAATTTAGATTTTTTTAATCCCATTTGATAAATTAACTCCAATTTCTTTTGTTGTAATGGGTTAGTACTGGTGCGTTAATAAAAATATTTAATTTAAAGCGTTATTAGTCGCATTTTTCTCACTTTTTACAGCATGTTACAACCGCATTTTAAAATGTTACAATTGACACCGGTGTTAATTGTAACAAACGTGCTCAAAATGTCATCAGTTGAGTATGTTAGAACTTATAGCTTCCTTAATTACACCTTGGCAATCGTCAATAATAGGAAATTCAGTGTAACAAGGCAAGCATTTATCGAAAATAACTGAATCCATTTTTATTTCGCGACAACTATTAAATTTGTATCTGGTATATCAGTAGTATTGGTTTTAATTGTTTTCTTACAAATAAATTAGATTAAACCACATGCCGTTCGATGATGCCGAGTAACGTAAATTGGTGTCAATTGTAACAAGTTACAATTAGTGTTTTTCATTTGAATTAGGTTAAACGTTAGTTTTCTACATTTAAGACGCTATAATTTTGTAACACTTATCTCAGTAAGCAGCAAACATCGTCAATGCCACTAATTCAGTAATTTAGATTTTTTGAATTCCATTTGATAAATTAACTCCAATTTCTTTTGTTGTAATGGGTTAGTGCTGTTGCGTTAACAAAAATATTTAAATTCAAAGCGTTATTAGTCGCTTTTTTCTCACTTTTTACAGCCTGTTACAACCGCATTTTAAAGTGTTACAATTGACACCGGTGTTAATTGTAACAAACGTGCCCAAAATACCATCAATTGAGTATGTTAGAAGTTATAGCTTTCCTTAATTACACCTTGTCAATCGTCAATAATGATAGGAAATTCACTGTAACAAGGCAAGCATTTATCCAAAATAACTTGAAACAATTTTTATTTCGCGACAACTATTAAATTTGTATCTGGTATATGAGTTGTCTTGATTTTAATTGTTTTCTTACAAATATGTTAGAATAAACGTGTCGTCCGGTGATTCCAATTGTAACGTAAATTGGTGTCAATTGTAACAAGTTACAATTAGTGTTTTTCATTTGAATTAGGTTAAACATTAATTTTCTTCATATAAGACGCTATACTTTTGCAACATTATCGCAGTAAGCAGCAAACGTCGTTAATGACACTAATTCAGTATTTTGTTTCATTCCTATTGATAATTAACGCCAATTCCGTTTGTTGTAGTGGGTTAGTGCTATTCCGTTAATAAAAAATTTTTAGTTCAAAGCGTTATTAGAAGCTCTTTCCTTACTTTTTACAGCCTGTTACAACCGTACCTCGACACGTTACAATTGTCGCCGGTGTCAATTGTAACAAACAACGGCACCAGTAAAAATTTCTAGGGGCGGCGGGTGGTCGCGGGGCTTAACCGTACTGACGGTGCACGTACCCCAGCGGTCTTCACAAACGTGAATTGTCACGAAGCTGAGCTCTCACGACGCCGCGATTAGCATCTACATTACCGATTGTAACGAGCGGGCACAGAGAGCGGTCTCTCTTCTCCCGTCTCGGATCGGAGCGATTTAACTGTTTCCGGTCCGTTGGAGAGCCCTTCGGGGGTGATGACACAATTTCGTAGGTTACGGACTGATCGAGAGTTCATATAGGTCCAAACCATTTGGAGGGCCGTGGTTACTAAATTCAAGTATCCCAGTTCTTTTAGCGGATTTTTTTTTTTTTTCATATTGTAACTATTAATTCTTGCACGGTCGCCATAGAACGGAAAATAGCAGACGATCAACCTGGAAATAATTTATTAACCAAATTACATTAAGACATTGCTGAAGCGTCAAAGAATCCTCTAATGGTAACGTTAAATGGGGGCAAGCCATAATGTGCGAACAGCCTGCTGAACAATTACACCCATCCGTTCGTTCTAACTGTACCGCCGCAGCGATAAAATTAATTTTCTATCTACTTAAAGCATCGGTCGCCATAAATATGTATACAACCGAGTCACTGCGTGCCTGATAAATATTTTATATTAAATCAAACGCAGCAGTGTTGACAAGAAAATGACTTTTCAGGAGACAAATGTCGGCGACTTGCTGTTCGCTTATTACTTTAACATTGCGTGAAAAATGAACAAGCGGCTATCTGTAATAATAAATTATGGTGTACGGGAAACGCAAAAATGTTATAAGCGAATTGCCGGCATTTCTCAATGTCCACATGCACTCGGTTTATATTAAATATGTATGGGGTGTCCCAACATTCAAGCAAGTTCAATCAATGACATTAATTTGTGGGTTTAATTAATAAAATAATTTTACGTAGCTGATGTTACAACTCTTCAAAATTTTGTGCATCTATGTGTAAATACATTTGGGTCCGTCTTACCCAGTTTCCACGAACTGACACCTTGCTTCACCATAAATTGAAACGATATCCATCAACTCCGTGTTCCTATACCAAAACTAATGTAAACACTATCGCAAAAACATTAAAGCTAAAATCGGATTTCAGTATGTGGAGAGACAGCGCATTGCGCACAGGGCAGAACGCTAGGGACTGCAGTAGCCCAGCAATGTAAGGGTTGAAAATATTAAAACTTCAGTAATTTTTTTCTTGGAAGCTATAAGGATTTTGCCAATATTTTTTACAATATTGACATTTTTTATTACGCGTCTATCTCCAAAATATTTTGGATAAGTTGTGAATCACTCTGAATACAATATACAAGGTGTTCTGTAAAGTATGAGCCATACAATAATGGGAGGTTCCTAGGGTCAAAATAGGCAGATGTAACCCAACTTACACTAGTACGAAAGTTAATAATAGCATATAGAGGGTCAAAGATGAAAAAAAAATGTTTTTTTCTAATATTTTCGGCACATAGTAGATATTTGGAACCACCTATAAAATATAGCAAAATACTAATTAAATTTGAATACTGCAAATATCTGCAATATGTAAAAAAATATTGAAGAAAAACAATTTTTTTCATCTTTGACTCGGTGTAAGAAGTTTGACTGCTATTACTTCAGCATGAGAGAATCATAAATGAACAAAAAAGCATCACAACGCGACAACACCGCTTAACCTGATACTACACAGCTCCTACGGAAAAATGTAAACTAACCACAACGAACGGGGGTGACGACATTTTTAACATTAAGGCGATGTTTCGCATCGTATTAGCAATGTCCTGTACAAATTTTGTTTGGTGCAACTCTCTCGGTTTCAAAAGTACAATACCTATGTATGTTTTCAGCCACGAAATTTGAATAATTCCAACTATTATTGTGGTACGCAAAAAACACTCAGACACGGTCCAATTCCAGATACCAACTGAATTGCGTATTGCTTGACAGCTTAGTGCCACGTGTTATCCGCCGCGCCGTTGTCACGTTGCTCGATATGAATTTTATCGAATTTCAAATTTATTACAACGCTAATTATTTCTTGGAATTAAGCATAAAGATTTTCAAAAAAGCGATAAACATTGTATTTTATGGTATTCTATGCACGCAATTATGTCAGTCTTCCTTAATTAATCGAACGATCAAGTTGGCGATTTGATAATTTTTTTCTCGGAAATTGATTTCTAAAAAGATTTCGTCTCGTAAAATTTTGGTATTCTCTAGATGGTAAGCAGTGTTAGGTATGTACTTAGTCATCAAAGTCAAACCATTGAGACTCTTAAGGCCTCGATGGAGAACACTTAAGGAGTTATTGTAGAAGGCCATTCATAGTTGAACTGTCATATTAAATATTAGACAGCGGCATGATATTAATTTTTTTCAAAGCGAGATGTAGAAGTTCATGGCTATACACGAGTCTATTAGAATCGAGAATTGTTGTAATACGCCTAGATATCATTCAGTGTACAGCGAGGTAGGGGTCAAGTTGGAGCGCTTTATACAGTGCGTTTTAAAACGAACGTCCCATCAATTCAAAGGCAGACAGAACGACAAGAAGGTCGCAGCTAGCGACCTCTCTAAGACAGTCGAAAACTAACATCATTGACATTCTTAGCATCCTCAACAACTCTTAAAAAAAA